GCTGTGCGCTTCGTACATTGCGGCACGCCCTGTAACACCTTCTCGGCTGCTCGTAAGCTTGATGGAGGGCCGCCTCCGCTCCGCTCGGCCCTCTACCCCGAAGGTCTGCCGGAGCTTTCGCTCGAAAACCAAGCGATGGTCTTCCTAGGCAATGCTTTTCTCGCACGTTCGACCGAAGCCTGTGCTGCTGTGTTCCAGCAAGGTGGGAATTTCTCCATCGAGAACCCCGAGTTCAGCCTGCTTTGGAGTACGGAGGCTATCGCCAATCTTCAACACCTGGCTCGGGCGTTCTGCGTGGATTTCGATCAGTGCGAATTTGGTGCACCATCCATGAAGCCAACACGACTGCTCGTGTCTCACCAATCTTTTCGTGCCTTGCACTGTCGTTGCAGCAGGTCGCATAAGCATGTTAAGCTCACGGGTAAAGTTTGGTCCGAGTTCTTCCAGTCGTGGGTCTTTCGCACTAAATTAGCACAGGTCTATCCTGGTCAGCTTTGCCAACAGTTCGCAGATATCTTGATACCAGTCTGGCTTGATCAGGGTTGGCAGTTCCGGGACAGCTTTCGCTTGTGCACTACCGATCGCAAGCGTCCGCTCGGACAGCCTCTGAAGTGGAAACAGCACCGTCAGGCTCTCTCCGCTCTGAAGGCGGAAGCTGCCGGGTACCAGCTCAAGCGCGGAGCTCGTAAGCCTTTGTTGCATGTGGAAACCGAGCCGGGCATGGCCATCGGTTGGGCGCTCGATCTGCCACACCCCTTGTGCGCTGACCTGTCCTTGGATCAAGCATTAGACGGCTGCATCTCGTCTTTGGCGCAGGATCCGTTAGCTGTGTTGTCCCAGCGTGCGCGCGCAATAGCCTTTTGGGAGTCTCGTGCTCTTGAGTTGTTGCCGCTCACTGACCAGCTGATCAGCTCACAAGAGGATCCATACTTGCGCCGTCTGCTGAGAGGAGCGCCAGACAATGAGCCCTGCCAGCTCGGCACCTGCTGTCATGTTGCTTTGTACTATGCAATGCTTGAAGCGTGTGATTCGGTCGACAAGTTTTTGCCTGATTTGCTCCTACAAGGTTTTCCAATAGTCGGGCCCATCGCCCGTTCGAGGCGGTGGGGCCCATATGATAAAGATCAACCGCATGTTAGGATCGAGCATGCATGTTCTAGGGCCTGGGCCTTGAGAGCGAAGATCGTCTCTCGTGTTCGAGGGGTTTCCGAGAACTTGAAAAAGATCTGGGATGCCACCCTGGAAGATGTGGCCGAGGGATCCACCATCGGTCCTTTTCAGCATGAACATGAGATCTCCCAGCTTCTCGCTTGCGAAGACTGGATTCCGACGCAAAGGCTTGAGGTTGTTCAACGTAACAAGGTTCGAGGCTGCGACAGTGCCACAACCAACCTCATTAATCAAATCACGGTGATCACTGAGAAACTGCAACTTCCCTCGGCCGACTCGAACGTTGCAGCTCTTCGCAAGATGCGTTCGCTTATGCCAGATGCAAGATTTGCGGGTTGGGTGCTCGACGAACGCAAAGCCTACCGCCAGGTGGCTATTCGACCGTGCCATAGGAAGTTCAGTGTAATTTGTTTGAAGAATCCCAGCTCGGGGAAGCCGGAGTTCTTCATCATGATCGGTCACTCGTTCGGCCTCGTCTCTGCAGTCTATAATTACAATCGTAGGTCTGCAGCCATTAACGAGGTGCTCGTTAGTTTGTTCAACTTAGTGACCTTCTCTTTATGATGATAAATACGGTTTCGAGCCCTTTGAGACTGTTCAGTCGGCTTTCGAAATTGCGCAGAAAGTGCACTGGTGGCTCGGAGCCACGTTCGATGCCAATAAGCTGCAGCTCTCGTCTCAGCCGACGATCTTAGGTGTTACCTACAACCTAGACGACTGGGTCCTCGAGATCAAGGCCTCTCGCCGAGAAGAGCTCGTGGAGGAGATCGAAAGCATCTTGGCAGAAGACCTGCTTGAGCCTGGTCAGGCTGGGAAACTTAAGGGTAAGTTAATGTTCGGAGCGAGTCAGCTCTGGGGGAAAGTCGGTCGAGCTTTTCTCAGAGTGCTCTCGGAAAGGCAATACGCTCGTGTTGCCGTCGGTGACAGGTTCGGGTTAGACCCACCGTTGAGAGAGTCGCTGAACCAGTGGCTCAAGCTCGTTCGAGCTGGGCCCCCGAGAACGATCGATTGCTGTCCTGGAAAGAAGGCAGATGCAGTTTTGTTCACCGATGGTTTTTCACCTGATTTCCGCTCTTCGGATTCTAGACCTGACCGAATAGGGGCGGTGTTGTTTGATCGTAGGCTCTTCTCAGCACTACAGTTCACCTTGCCAGTACCTAAGAAGTTGATGAGGTGTTGGCTCGAGCGGAAGACACAAATCGTGCCGGTTGAAATGCTCGCCCCTATCGTGGCACTCGAAACGTTTGCCGATCGGCTTCAAGGAGCAGATCTGTTTTTGTTCACTGATTCCGAAGTAGTGGAAGCTGCTCTTGCAAAAGGATACTCGAGTCGTGAAGACCTCTGCACGCTCGTGTCAGTCTTTTGGGATTTGATCCTGAGCCTGCGGGTTCGTGTTTTCATTGATCGAGTGGCCACAGACGCCAATCCGGCAGATGCTCCGTCAAGAGATGATCTGACGACGGGGTCGAACGCTGGCTGGCTCACAATCGAGACTGCCTGGCCCGAGCAGCTCGTTCGAGACTAGCACAACGATGTGTCTAAAAGGTGTGCGGTCGTAAGGGGGGGCCTGGGCAAGAAGGGAGCGAATCCTGGTCTTGTTCAAGTTTTATGTTTCGTCACCTGTTCAGTTTAGGGCTCGCGAAGAGGTCGCTTCGTGAAGGAGCTTTTTCCCTGAACTGTTACGGTTTGTGATCAATGCCCTCTTTGACCCCTCTTTATATAGACGGATCGTGTCCGGGGGTTACGTCCCCATGCTTGTAACCTCTCGGATCAAAACAGCTTGCGGCGTGTTTTCCTTTCCGAGGGTTCGTTTTGTTGTTTGATCAAAGATGAACAAAGACACTCACTCGTGTCTGGTGCAAACTGGAGAGTGGTTCTCATGTTGTTGGTCTGGTAGGTAGGAACAGGAGGAGCACTTTCGTGTTTGCTGTTCAGCTTGATCGATCGACTTTCGTTTTCTCTCGATGCCATTTTGGCGAGAGATCATTGCCAGGCAAGAACACCCAACCCTGCCCACCCTGTAGCGTTATGCTGCGGGGTGCCAAGGCAGGCAGGCCCGCGCAGAGAACTGTTTCAAGTTCGAAGTTCTGTCCAGATCGGGGTGAGGGCAAGAAGGGAGCGAATCCTGGTCTTGTTCAAGTTTTATGTTTCGTCACCTGTTCAGTTTAGGGCTCGCGAAGAGGTCGCTTTGTGAAGGAGCTTTTTCCCTGAACTGTTACGGTTTGTGATCAATGCCCTCTTTGACCCCTCTTTATATAGACGGATCGTGTCCGGGGGTTACGTCCCCATGCTTGTAACCTCTCGGATCAAAACAGCTTGCGGCGTGTTTTCCTTTCCGAGGGTTCGTTTTGTTGTTTGATCAAAGATGAACAAAGACACTCACTCGTGTCTGGTGCAAACTGGAGAGTGGTCGTAGTAGTAGTAGTCGTAGTGGTAGTAGTAGTAGTAGTAGTAGTAGTAGTAGTGCTAGTAGTAGTAGTAGTAGTAGTAGTAGTAGTAGTAGTAGTAGTGGTAGTAGTGGTAGTAGTGGTAGTAGTAGTAGTCGTGGTAGTAGTAGTAGTAGTAGTAGTAGTAGTAGTAGGTAGTCGTAGGTAGGTAGTAGTCGTCGTCGTAATAATAGTAGTGTTAGTAGTCGGAGTCGTAGTAGTCGTAGTAGTAGTAGTAGCAGCAGTAGTAGTAGTAGTAGAGTGGCAGTAGTAGAGTAGTAGTAGTAGTAGTAGTAGTAGTAGTAGTAGTAGTAGTAGTAG